GCAGATGCGTAAGTACCACATTGATCTCTTGATGACGCACTGTTGCGCGTTTGCGTGCATCGTGGACAACTTCGAGGTGGACACGCAGAATCTGAGAGACGACTTAAGGGTGGACCAAAAGACTATCAACGGGTATTTCCGTGAGATTGGAGCCAGAGTGAAGCCAGTATCGAACAAGGCAGAGGGCAAGACGTTGCAGCTGGCTCGGTTGACGCTGCCGCTCGATTTCCCGAAGCAGAGACACATTGCTCCCAAGAAGCGATGAGAAGACGTGCGAATAAAATGAGGGGGGAGGGATTCGACTTGGACGAATTAATGGCCGCATTTTCCTTCGAGACAGATCACTCAGTCCGAACGACACATTACCATATAGACTTGCATTGGGGGTTGGATGGGTATTTTTGCCGCTGAAAAAAATGAAACGGAGTGAGTGAGTGTGTACTGTAAATAACCAGGCATTGCATATTATTATCGTGGTGTTCTCTTGCCTCTGTTATTGCTTTTCATCATCGAGTGGGTGTAAGTATGGGTGTATTATGTCCTCGGCTCACCACTAATTGACCTACCTAGCCATTGACCTCAGGCGAGGAACCAGCGAACTCACTCGAAAACACAAAGCAGCATCATTTTCCGTACGACTCAATCGTACAGACTGCCGGGGCCCGGTTGCAGAGCTGGACTCCGCCCCCGCAATCTCGGTCCCCGTTAACAACTTTAGGCCGAGGCATCTCGGGAGCTTGATTGGCTTGATTGGATGTTGGATTGAGTAGCTCGCATCTTGACCCTTGTAGTGGGGTTTCTCACCTCGGCGTCCAGCGTTGACAACATATCGATGAATTGGGGGTTTATTTCATACTTTATATTCATACTGGGATCCCCGTAACCAGCTGCCAGGCTCGTCTCTGCTTCCATCTCGCTGTTTCCCCCCATCTCTCGCACTGCCATTGGCCACGGCGTATAGTTGTTATATAGGCATATATGTACATGCCCCTTGGATATATGTAAACCACACAACCTCTTCTACTCCAGACAACAAAATCAATACGTCTCAGAGGCAGTCATCATGGCATCAGAACAGAAGAGCCCCATCAGCCTAGAGTACAAAGGCCGCGTCGCCATCATCACCATCGACAATCAACAGAAACTCAATGCCCTCAACCAGGCAGCCTACTACGACCTCGCCCAGAAGCTGCGAGAGATTGCGACCCACGACGAGGTCTTCATCACAGTCCTCCTCGCCAAGGGGCGCTACTTCTCAGCGTGAGTAATTCCATCTGATGAACTAGCTTCATAAGCCAGCTAACACTCACAATTCCCAGCGGCGCCGATGTGACCATCGCGAGAGCCACGCCCTCAGCCGGCGACGTGGACATCCACAAGCACTGGCTCCAGAACTTCGTCGCCTTCAACCTCAACATCACCCACGCCTTCAGCACCCACCCAAAGATCCTCGTCGTCGGCCTCAACGGGCCCGTAGTCGGCCTCTCCGCCGCCATCGTCGCCTTCGCCGACTTCATCTACGCCGCACCCCACACCTTCCTCCTCACCCCCTTCTCCTCCCTGGGGCTCGTCGCAGAGGGCGGCGCCTCCCGCGCCCTCGTCCAGCGCCTCGGCCCCGCCCGCGCCAACGAGGCCCTCATCATGAGCCGCCGCATCACCGCCGACCAGCTCGTCCAGGCCGGGTTCGTCAACGCCATCTTCGATGTCGAGAAGGGCGACGACGCGAGGTTCCACGAGCTCGTGCTCCGCGAGGTCGACGAGAGGCTGGGCGAGCACCTGAGCGGGTCCAGCCTGCTGGGCATCAAGAAGCTGATCCGCAGGCCGGAGCTCGAGGTCACCAACGAGCAGAACGTGCACGAGGTGTTTGCCGGGCTGGAGCGGTTCGTACAGGGGATCCCGCAGGAGGAGTTCCGCAAGATCGCGAGCGGGGAGAAGAAGCATAAGCTGTAGGCGAAGACTCGGTTGTGTTGGAGATTAGATACTCATTATTTGCACTTGTTATGTGAGCGCGTTTGAATGAAGGAAACATGATGCGCTGGGCTCTTCTTTTAGAATTTTGAATGCGACTACCAATCTATCTATACATACAGTCTATTACGCTAACAATCCAAAGAGCAATTTGGTTCGCTGCCAGAAGACATCTGCAGATTTCTTCATGCGCTGCCGCGATGCCTCGTCGAGACCGGTCTGCCTCACAAGCTTTTCCTCCAGGTCCTCCAGATAGGGTGATGAGGCCTGGCTATCCTTGGTTTTATCATCCTGCTTGAGTGCGAGGGCCTGCTGTAGGTATGCCACATCGTAGAGCCACTGGATTTGCAGGTCGCGCTTCCGCTCCTCGGGGCTTGGCTCATCGCTGTCCTTGTCCTCCTCCTTTTCGTCCTTCTCTTCCTCTTCTTTCCCTTGTTCGGCCTCGGATTTCTCTCCGTCCTTGGGTTCGGCGTCATCCTCGTCAGTCTTCTTCTTGGGCCTTTGATGGCCTACAGAAGTAGTCTCAGATTCCAGATCAGCCATGGTCATATTCCACAATGCCCCCAGCCTCAGAGCCAGAAACTCTTTCACGGTCTTCACAGCCCGAGGGCTCCATAGGTCACTTCCAGCCTCGCCCATTGAATTGGTCAGGTCACGGAGAAAGGCAAACGTCCCCGGTGATGGTTGAGTCGGTAGGGGCGGCCTCCCTTCCCACAAAGCACGGATTTCGACACTCCTTTCTGATAGACCCGTGGATGCAAAATTATCCAGGACCTTTATCGCCACATGCTCTGTCAGTTTCTCGTGTAGAGATGGAACTATGCCCAGCCCAAATCTCTTGACAGACTCGAGAGCGGGTAGTTGGTTGCGGATATCTCTCACTACTCTGAGTAGGTAGATGGAGATGTGTTCGGCGTTGGGACTGCTGGGATGCTCCTCCCAGAGTTTGGTAAATTGCTGATCGAGTTCGAGGAAAGCTTCGCCGAGTGATGTGTCAAGCTTTTCTTTTAATTTCTTGGGGTCCTCTTGGCTGAGGATTTGTTGTCGGGCCTGAATTGTCTCCTCGTCCTCGACCTCATCGTAGTCGTTGTCCCAGCGTTGTTTTTCTAATGACTGCACCACCTCTCTCACGTCGTCAATGACGTGGAACCAAGATCGATAGCAGTTCAGTGCCTTGGAGACGGCGTCGTTTCGACCAAAGAGCCGAGACACAACCTCTTCTATGAATGGTGCCGCGCCGTCGGAAAGCGCTGCATCGTAACCCTGCTCGCCCCAAAGACCGTGTCGTTTGTCGGTGATGCCACTTCGCCAACTCTCGAGGGTTGAGCTCACCTCGGACCCTACAATCCGGAGCTTCTTGACCTTCGTCTCCAAGACGGCGAGGAGGCGTCCGTTGATGACTTCACGTAGATCGTCTTGCATATCTGCGGGATCGATGCCTTTTGCCTTGCCACCCTCGCGAATCCATAGCTGTAGAAGGCTAGTTCTCAGCTCCATGATGGACTTGAACTCGGACATGTGCTCCATTGAAGCCTCGACGCCCTCTAGAAGGACCCTTTCGCCCTTCTTGGCCCAGTCAAATAACATTTCCCTTGCTTGTTTGCCATCAAGGTCATCATGACGAATGAAAGGTGTGAAGTATTCAATGTCTTCGCCGCACCATCGCCCATATACGTCCAGTCGCAATTGGTCTAGCTGCCTCAGTGCTGGCTCAGAGAACAGTGGCTTACTCTTCAACGCGGCAACGGCCTGTGATAATCTGGTCGGTACCAGAGCCTGGACATCTAGTATACTTTGAGTATACAGCCGCAGCCCCTTGACAATGTCCTCGTTCCGTTTCTCCCGCTGGCCCTCCTCAAGCTCGAGTGTAAACGCCATGGCCCTGCCTCTGATGTTAAGAAAGTATCGCAGGGCATCTCTCGCACCCGAGCTCGAGGCAAGGCAGTACGCACAGAGCACCTTCAGGAGGTCCTCCCTATCCGCATCCTCAACCTCGGAGGAGAGGGCCTTCTCCACATTCCGCGTCAATCGGTTCCGCAGACTCCTCAACGACTTGTTCGAAGCTTCGATGTCGTGCCGCCGCGGGCTCTCAGCCACCCTGGCCCCGAAGCTCTTGTTAAGCAGCCGGCAGAGCACCAGGAGCTTCGCAGCAAGGACCAGCCTGTCCCCTCTCGTCGTCGCCGAGCCGTGAATCTCACCGCCGGCCACGGGTCCTCCCTTCAGCAGCCGCCCGATGACCAGCACAGAGGCCCCCAGCAGCCTGGCCTTGGCGTCCTCCTCCAGCTCCGGCCTGTCGGCGCCCTTGACGAAGTCCGCCAGCCCGCTGACCTTGTCGCCCACGATGGCCCGGCCGCAGCGGCCGCCCATCTGGCCGAGCAGCTCCTGCACGGCGACGTTGTCGTTGCGCATCTGGACTATCGTGTCCGCGGTGCCGAGCAGCTCACGGTAGGAGCTGCCGACCTGGGTGCGAAGGCGCGTGGCCTTCTCCTCGATCTGGACATGGAGGGACTTGTGGATGGCGCGGATCTGGGGGAGGGTGTGGGTTCCGGAGAAGATCTCGGCGGAGGAGGTGATCGTGGACGCATCGAAGACGGACATTTTTGGCGGTGCCGCTGGCCTGGTTCGCAGCCCAGGGCGGAGGGGGGAGCTCTCTTCACTGCGGGCTGCGACGGCGAGGGTCGTTCGTGTTAATGATGTTATAATTTGAGGCGCATTGGGAGCGGTTCGAGGGGGTTTCTCTCAGCTGCGAATGGACAAGCCCGTAGGTGCGGCGTGGTGTTGAGCTTGAGCGAGGTGGACAGATCTGATTATGGCGTAGGTGTAACTATCACATCCAGCGGGTGGTAAATTGTGGGCTCTTCATGGCGTGGAGGGACACTAAGACAGGGGGTTCTTCAGCGCTTGGTCCCGCGCCAACCTTAACAATTCAATATCAACACGACCGTTATGAAAAGAAGGACAAATATAGATTGCAAAACCCAGGACGCAGAATCTATTGGACATAAAAGCAATACACATCGCTATTTTATATATTACGATAGCGGGACACTCTTGATCACCCGTGTGTTGATACCAGAGAGCTCTCCTTGGTATCCTCCCTTGGGCTCGCCGCCCTTCCATGTCGGCTTCATGCTGCGCAGCTTCTTCTGCCTTGCCTCGTACTGCATCCTCCTCTTGACTCTTGGGTTTCTGACTTCCTTCTTCCTGCTGGGCGCGAGGCCTTTGTTCTTTTCAATCTTGTAGGTGATCTTTCGCTTTCCGTCCTCCCCAATCTGTTCATCCTCTACGACTCTGTCGGCTTTGCTGGCAGCAGCATAGGCGGCATAGCGTGCCAGCTTGTCCTCCTTCTTGCCCTTGGCCTTGTGTGCCACCATGTCGTAGTATTCGTCCTCATTGTTTCGGAGGGACTTGGCGGCAGCTCCATCATCTTCGTCACTATCATCTCCCAGGTCGGCGCCAAGCTTGGATCCCTTTTTGCCTCGCTTCTCTGCCTCGGCGAGTAGACGGATTTGGCGATCCTTGAGACGCTCCCTGTAGGGAATATCCATATCACCACCAGCATCGCGACCAGCACCAGCACGGCGGCTGGCCTTTTGGGCGATTTGGGAAGTGTAGAACTTGAGTGACTTCTTGCGAGCAGCCTTGTCAGCGGCGGTGCGGTCATCCAGTGTCGTCTCTTCTCCGAAGTCTGAATCTGAGTCCTGGGCTGCAGCCGCCTTCTTGGCAACCTTCTTCTGGCTCTTCTTCTTGGACGAGGTACCAATTGGCAAGTCGTACAGGTCTGCAACGGTTTCCTCCACAGCCTTGGCCTTCTCCAGTTTCTTGGCTCGCTTCGCCGCAGCAGCCTTCTCCTCCTTGTTCTTTGCCTTCTTCAACTTCTTCAATTGAAGGTCCCCGTTCAACTCATCAGCATCGTGGATGGTAATGTCTGCATCCGTATCCAGGGCGGTGGTTGAAAACTTGAGGTCTTTGACTTTTCGCCATGCCTCACGACAGCTGAGAAGAGTCTCCATGATCTCGTGATCTCGTAGTTCCGAAGGGTCAAGTGATTTTTGTGCTTTGCTTGCGTCCCTAGCCGGCGAGGTCATGACGGCAAAGTAGCTTGCTAGGGCGGCAACATAGCAGCCGAGGACCCAGTATTTGACATCGTTTAGAGATTTCCCGGTGCTGTTCTTGGTCTCGGCTTTGAGGGTCTCCAGCAGAGGGTGGTGTATTTCCAATTCTTTTACCAGATGTTCAAACTCGGGGTATCGAGCCTTGAGAAGTTTGTAACGTTCCTCGACACTCATGTCGTCCGTGACCTCGATGTCCTTGAGAACCTCGGTGACCTTGTCCTCATCCTCTTCGCCCTTTTCGGGTTCTGCCTCCAGCCACTCGTCCTGGTCAAAGATGAAATCCTCGTCCGTCATCTTGGACAGCTTCTTCTGTTGCAGGCGCTTGGCTTCGGCCTCCTCTTCCAGAGCGTCGGCCTCGGTTTCGATTTGGTCGGCGTTATAGTACTCTTTCCTTGAGGATCCCCACCAGCCCTCGTCGCCCTCTTCATCCTCGCCCGCCTCCTCCTCTTCGTCGGACACATCTGCCTTTGATCCACGCTTGCCTTTCTTGGACTTGGCCTTGGGTTTCTCATCCTCGGAGTCGGATTCGTCGTAGCCCAGAACCTCCTCATCGGAGAGTTCAATGTCATCGTCGGCTCTCCTCCGGCGCTTAGAGCCAGGCTCATCATCTAGCATCAAGTCGTCGCGCGCCAGGAAGAACTCGTCCTCGGAGTTTGCGACATCCTCGTAGGTGGTGATGGGTCCCAGGCGCGCATCGGCATCATCGAGTTCGCGGGGACCCTTGGACTGGTCGCCCGACCGAGGTGCCTTTCTCTTCTTTCCCATGTTGAATTTCTTTTATAAGGGAATATTTCTGACAGGGGAACTTGATCTTGGTTGAACCTTCACTTAGCCAGCAGACCAGTAGTGGTTTGGACGGGCGATTAGAAAATTTCCATGGCTATCTGATAAGATAAGGAATCTGTGTTATCGGGCCCACAGAAGCCGAGTACTTCAAAAGTACAGAAATCCGGACTGAATTTAAGCGGGCACCTGAAGTATACTGCACGTACTTTACCGAGACTACCAACTTTCAATTGAACTTCAGTACCTCCGTTATGCTAATGTATCTGCAAGCCGCGGAAAGTGAGCATTAGATAAACGCCCTGTTGCTACCTATCTAAATGAAGATTGGAAAATCGAACCAGCTCTCAATAATGACCCAACCATGTCAATATGCCAATTCTATGCCTATGAGGATCTTCCTTTTTTCGTATTCTGCCCCAGAGCATCACGTAATTATACATATCTACCTACTGATTATCCCGCACTTCCAAGACAATAGACGGCGGTATGGGCGCTAGAATTTGTCGTGTGACAGCGGCTGTCCGTCGTCATTTCTGCCGCCAAGTGCCTGCTCCACTCAGACACTGAGGTGGCTTGCAGGGTCGGTACATTAAGGTAGCGCTGCTTGTGACTCGTGGGGTTTGAAGTACCGGCCATCTGGTCAATAGTTTTGGCTGTAATAAGTAAGCAGAGAATACCAGCATATTAGTAGATTCGCTCCGGCTCAATTACCTCCATGGCGGCATCCAACAACAACCTTTTCACGTGTATCGGCAGAGTCATTGGCAGATGCTCCAGTGTCTCACTTCAGTGTTCAGTTTAGCCACGCAGATAGACTAAGCCATCCTCGGCCTAGAGCTACCCCATCTCCGGCCACCTGAGCAAGGGTATCCGACCCAACTGATGAATGAAACACGGCGCTGTCTGGTCCCCTAATGTTTAGGTTCCTGTCAACGCCGAGGATATGTGAACGGGCTTCGAAGGAAGTGGAGGAGAAAGCGTAATTACATTAGCACGAGGGGCACGCTAGTGCGGTGTATCTTCACGGACACCCTCACGTCAAAGAGGCACTTTCATGGATACGTTCCCAGCCAGTGGCATGGCCTTTATGTTTATTCCCCTGCCTTGTTAGGATCTTGGGACAAAGCCCCTTTGTGAGGACCCTATCGGAGTTCGCAGTCTGGGAGGCCTTGGGTGGCGAGACAGGCCAACTGACTGGTGGAGGGGTCATCTGAGATGGGATGCAACCATGCGGACAGGTCATGGGTGTGGATCTTTGCAGGCTACCCTTTGGACCTTTGACGCAATTCCAATAATTCTGAGCCTCCCGCGCTCCCACTCGCACCCTCATACCCACATGCGCGCATGCGCCTCCCTCACGTAACTTCCATTTCCCCAGCCTTGTGTGTCCGGGGCCAATTCGTTCTTCATAGTCCTTCCTTCCTGCTCTTTTTGAGTTTCTGCTTCTCTTTGTTTCTGGGGTATGCGGGACCTGGACAGTCAGGTCACCCGTCCACGTCTTCGCCTCGGGATACGCTTTTATTAGACTCATCCTTATCTTCTAGCCCAGGAACCACCAGGGGATGATATCATCTGCTCAACCAGAAACCCACAACGACGTGCCAGACCGACCCGCGAACCTCACATCCAAATAATCACCCAGGATCTTTTTCCATTTTGAGCTTCACCAGGACCGCTTTGTCACGAATGGGCGGCCTAAGTGCAGGAGACGCCGTCTCCCAGCCCGTTTCCCCGATGTCGCACCGGAGGCGTGGGATCCTGAGTCGATCCCACTCTTCGCAAAATGTCGAAGGGTCCGATGAGTATTCACCGTTGCTCGGAAGGTCGAGGTCACGGATCAGCGAGGCCGGCTTCACGGGTCGCCGCCGTGAACGGAGAAGACCTGGTATGCTCGTCACTAGCTGTCCCTCAGTTCAGCCCTCCCCTTGGAAGCTATTAATACTAACAATCCTTTCTCTCCCTAGCAAATAACTCTAGAGCCCGTTTGGATTCCCGCAACCCCTCATGGCAGTCTCGGGTGATGCACGCCTTGGCCGACCATCCTAGCTTTGCAGAGTCGAAGCGATCCCTCCTCCCCGACGAACGAGTATGGTATGATCAGTTTACAAGCACCGATTGGGTCCACGACGCTATCGCCGACTCTCATCGAGTCAAGAACCTACGATTAAGAAAGGATTTTTGGGGCCGTATTCGCGTGATCCTCGATGGTGTACAGGGGTGGATTCTAAGCGCCTTGTCTGGCTTTGTCATTGCCATAGTCGCCTATGTCGTCAATGTTTCCGAGGGCGCGGTCTTTGACTACAAATTTGGATATTGTACGCGTGTCTGGTACATCACGGAAAAGGTAAGCAACCATGCCTCACAGGGCAGGCGCCATTTTGTTGTCCGCCTACAGTACCTAGTTCATAAAACTGACTCACGATGCTAGAAATGCTGCCCCAAGGGCAAGTGTGAGGACTGGAAGGAATGGTCTGATATCTTCCAGAACGACGTGTTGGGGGCACCATGGACCGGATTCATCATTTACCTCATTGGGGTTGTGTCACTATCCTGCCTTGCATGCTACGTGACACTCTTCACTAAAACCGTTGTCCCTTCGTCATACCGCCTTGCTACACTGGACGAAAATCTTGGTGCACAAGATGTCTCGACGCCGCCAGAGGAGGCATCGACTGATGACGACGTGAGCACCCCTCGGCAGTTCACTGAATCGGTCCCCGAAAACCCGCCGATGGTCTATTATACTGCGGCAGGCAGTGGTGTCGCCGAGGTCCGTGTTATTCTGAGCGGATTTGTCTTGCACGGCTTCCTTGGTCTCAAGACGCTGCTGTTCAAGTCGTTTGGGTTGATTCTGAGTGTTGCTTCTGGCTTGAGTCTGGGCAAGGAGGGTCCCTATGTCCACATTGCGACCTGTATTGGTAACATTGCCTGTCGACTATTTTCCAAGTACGATCGGAATGATGCCAAGAGACGAGAGGTCCTTTCCGCAGCAGCCGCGGCCGGCGTCACTGTCGCCTTCGGTGCTCCTTTAGGCGGTGTTCTATTCAGTCTAGAGGAAGTCTCGTACTTTTTCCCACCAAAGACCCTCTTCAGGACTTTCTTTTGCTGCATCATCGCTGCCCTCTCACTAAAGTTCCTTAACCCATACGGAACGCACAAGATTGTCATGTTCGAGGTTCGATACCTCGTTGACTGGGAATTCTTCGAACTTTCCAGTTTCATATTGACTGGTGTCCTTGGAGGTGCACTGGGGGCGCTCTTCATCAAGGCCTCTAAGCACTGGGCACAGAACTTCAGATCAATCAAGGTTATCAAGGCGTACCCGATGCTCGAAGTTGCCCTAGTGGCGCTCGTCACAGGTGTCCTCAGCTATTGGAACGTTCTTACGTCGCTTCCTGTAGCCAAGCTTCTGCTGAACCTGGCCGCACCTTGCGACGACCCCGCAGTTGATCGGTACGGATTGGGACTGTGCCCTAGTTCGGTAGAGGACATACCCGACATCCTTGTGAAGCTGTCTGTTGCATTCTTGATCAAGTCCTGCCTGACGATAATCACATTTGGTATCGTAAGTTAATTTGACATGCTCCGTTCCAGAACGAGTGTAAGCTGACTATGTACAGAAACTTCCTGCGGGCATCTACGTGCCATCCATGGTGGTTGGTGGTCTATTGGGCCGGATTATCGGGCACCTGATGCAGTGGCTCATTCTCGTGACTCCAGACTGGCCCATTTGGGGCAACTGTGCCTCGGGTGCAAATGGAACATGCATTCAACCTGGAGTATACGGACTTATTGCAGCCGGTGCTACGATGTGTGGTGTCACCAGGCTCTCCGTCACTCTTGCAGTCATCCTATTTGAGATTACGGGCAGCCTGGACTACGTACTTCCATTCTCTCTCACTATCCTGGTTGCAAAATGGACAGCTGATGCGATTGAGCACCACAGCATCTATGTAAGAATCCGCTTGATGAATCCATCCAGCCCCTTTTCCGACCACAGACTAGCTAACACGCAAACAGGACCTTCTAACCAACATGAACTCTTACCCTTTCCTGGACAACAAGCACAAGCCTGTTTTCACTGGTGATTTGGCCGATATCGTTCCCCGAGCTCGCCGAGAGCGAGTCATCGACATCAGTGATTCTCCAATGATCCCAGCAAAACTCCTGCGAAAGAAGCTCGAGTTGCTTCATCGTTCCGGGGAGCTGGACGGTGGTCTCCCCATCCTGCGAGACGATGTATTAACCGGATTGATCCCGGCGCCAGACCTCCAGTACGCCTTGGACCAGCTAGAAGATGAAGCAACCAGCTGGTGTCTGATGGGCTTCCCGGAGCTGACGGCCGGCGATGCTTATGATGAGACGCAAGAGGAAGACCCGTGTGATTTTACCAAGTTTATCGACCCTGTAAGTTGCTGCTCCCAAAATAAAGTTCTCTCTTCGTTTTCGGGCTAACACGTCAATCGGCTAGGCTCCCATGGCACTCGATATCAGATCACCAATGGATTTGGTGTATGAATGCTTTGCAAAGCTTGGGCTCAGGTACATTTGTGTGCTCAGGGACGGCAACTATGCCGGCATGGTAAGTGCAGTGCACGAAATCAAGCTTACTTGTTTCGAGTTGCTTTTGTTAATGAATACTAACATCTTGCTCAGGTTCACAAGAAGACTCTGGTCAGATTCATGCGTGAACAGGAGGAAGAACAATATTCTATCTGAGAAGAGTCTCAATTTTGTTAAAGACCTTGTGATCATACAAGGCTTGAGGTGCAGATTGACTTTCCTATTCTTGTCTCCCCCGTTTACTTCAGGGGTATGAAATTGAATGGCATAGCATCAAGGAGTTTGGGGAACTGCGCGAATGTCAGAGCGCAGTATTCATAGCATTTGTTAGCGACGCTGTCGTTTGTTTATCTAGATTATGCATAGCTGGTCACGCGGACTCGCTTCGATCCGTTCAGAGTTTAGGTAGAAGCTGCATCTCGGTATCAGGTTATCACATGATTTATTAGCGGGTTAATAGACGACTCATATTTCAAAGGTTTATTATTGTTCAACTAGTGTTTTACGTCCGAGATCCGGAATGAAGATGTCAGCTTCTTTATCACTGAGCTTCTTGCTGCCGCCTAATCTTGCTGTGATCCATCGATGTCCTAAGAGCACCCTCCCAGGGCACAGAATTTAGAGCTCCTAGGAAGCCACTGTAGCTTCTGAAGTTACATGGCAAGCGTTCGCCAAGACAATAAGAGCTTCCAAGGCTGGGCAAACAACCAACGTTTAGGAAATTGTGGTGCTTATTGTGCTAAGAAGAATAGGTATTATAATGGGATAACAGGTACTCGCCGTGTGGGAAGCTAGAGTGTGCCTAACAATAAACAACTACGTACCTATTCGTGAATATTGCGGTCGAAAGGGTTTGGGTGAATAGCTGGGAGCGGACTGAGAACCTAACCTCCTACAACTCCCTTGTTTTCCAACTCTCTTTATATTTCCCCATTTCCCATGCCTAGGTGCCTTTGAATATCCAAAACCTCCGATCTCCACGCTCCCCATCAAGGTGAGATCATGTATTCGACTTTCAAAGCGCCCTGGCAACCTTGTCCAGCGCCTCGATCAGAACATCGACATGCATCTCCCGCAGAATCAGCATCGGCCTCAGCCGCACGGCCGTAGCGCCACTCCCGCCGATATTGATACCCTCCACCTTAGCCCGAGCAAGGAACTCATCCCTCTTGGGACAATCAAACGCAATAAACGTGCCCTGCCCCTTGCCCCTCAGATTCACGAACAGCTCCGGGTACCGCCCCGCGAGCGCCTCGAGCTGCTCGTACAGGTACCCGCCCACCCTCGCCGTGTTCTCGACAAGATCGAGCCGCGCCACCTCGTCGACGATGGCGCGGAAGAGGAGCGCGCGCGCCGGGTCGCCCATCCACGTGTTGAACTGGCGGTAGGGCCGGTTGGGCTGCAGGCTCGCCTGGCGGTAGTAGTACCCCGCCGTCTGGGCCTTCTTGGAGAATGTGACCATGTCCGGGCTGTCGTCCTCGGGTAGCCCCCAGTGCTCGTGGGCCCAGAACTTGCCCGTCGCGCCGACGCCGGTCTGGACCTCGTCGACGATCATGAGGACGTTGTGTTTTCTTGTCAGGGCGCGGAGGGAGCGGAAGAAGGATGGGCTCGCGTGGTTGTCGCCGCCTTCGCTCTGGATGGGCTCGACGATGAGGGCGGCGGGGGGCAGGTGCCACGTCTTGATGAGGTGCTCGACCTCGTCGAGGCTCGCCTGCTCGGCCTTTGCGTTCTCGGCGGCGTGCTGGTCCAGGGGGTACTTGAGCTGCGGGAACGTGGCCTGCGGCCAGTCGAACGCCGGGATGTCGAGCTTGTGGATGGGTTTCGAGCGGGTCGTGGAGAGCGAGCCGAACAGGCGGCCGTGGAAGCTGGTCCTGAAGGACAGGATGGACAGCTGGGACGAACCGGGGGACTGGTTGTTCATGACGGACTCGAGCTCCTGGGCCGTGAAGTCGACGTCGTAGCCGCCGCGCTCCTGCTGCCGCCGGTGCATGAACGCCGCCTTGTAGGCCAGCTCGTTGGCGTCGGAGCCCGCGAGGGCCGTGAAGACGTGCGGCAGGCCCCTGGGCGCCACCTTGAGGATGCCCGTCCTGAGGATCTCGGCCCAGTCGTGGGACGGGAAGTTGCCGAGGGCTGGGCGGTTGATCAGGGCTCTGACCATCTCGGGCGTCGCGGCCGCCTTGGCCAGGGCGGGATTGTTGTACCCGATGGGGATGGAGGCGATTTGCGCATAGCTGGACGCGTGTTCTTGTTAGCAATTGGAAACAGTGAAGCTCGGTTGGATGCCTGCTTACACATCTAGTAATTGGTTGCCATCCGTATCGGCGATATAGTTGCCAAAGCTCCGGGTGTAATCAGCGAGGAGGCTCAAGCTCCGCGTCTCAAAGACCTCGCTCAGCTCCTTTATGTGCTTCGTGCTCTGCGGCCCGGGGATCTTCGTCTTGAGGACTGGCCCGCCAGGCTCACCCTCATAGAATGGCTTTTGGACTGCCCTCAGTGGCATGCCAGCCGTGAAGCATCGCCTCGAGGGGCAGCCCATCACGGCTCTGGCGGTAGCCCTCGGGACCATGCTGGCGCGCAAAGACTGCATTGCTCCGTGGCGGTTTCCGTTCTGCTGGTCTTATCTCTCAGGCAGTTTCCACGCCTCGCACTTCTCTTCCGTGATCTGGATGAGATGGTGGATGGAGGAGGAGGGGCAGAGAGGCCAGCTGAGACAGAATTATACACATCCATCCATCTGCCTGGACACGACAAGACGGCACTAGTCTCCGAAGCTCCATCGCCTCGAACCTTGTGCCGTCTCGATGCTGTTGCGCATCCTTTCCCGTGTTTGCCTCACACGTGGTTCATCAAGATAAAGAGCCATGTACCTCTCCCCATTAGCTGGGTGTAAGATACTTGGCCACGAAGTTGGTGCGGGGGTGAGAGAGTTAGCTCCCAGCTTGGTATGCATGGGCTTCGCAGTGTGAGGGCCCTATTGGCTCAAGCATCCCAATACCTGCATCGAGATGACGGTATGGCTTGAATCTAGTCTGGTCTTACGTCCGGGGGCGCAAGCTTGGGATTGGCTGGCCGTCGGGCGTGTTCGAACTGCCTTTGAAATATTGTGCCCGGATTGGAAGGTTGGGGAATCTATCAGCGGAGATGGCAGCCCTGGTTACACTCGATTCCACGTCGCATGTTGGGCTTATCGTCATTCAGTCACTACAGTTGAATTTCTCCCTCCCGACTACTGAGATGTACCATGCCTTTCGGCCGCGATTATGAATTAGATATTTATAAATAGCAGATGATGCTCGCTGGGACGTATGCATGCCTATTTCCAATGCTTTCCAAGAAGTGCTCTGCCGTTTCTGACACATCACCAGCACAATCAGACCAGCCCGTGTGCGTTGGTGAGTTGTCCTTGTCGGCAGGATAAACAAATTCCCTTCTACCACAAAATTCTAGCCGTCGGTCCTCATCGTAGCTCGTTAATTAGTAAACAACATCGTGCCAAGCAAATAAAGCATATTTCGTCGTGTGCCTACGGAATATGCAGTCAGCCATGGGCCCACCAATCAGAGGCATAGTCATCCAGGACATACCATGAATACACAGTCCGCTAGATACTCAGGTAGCTGAATAACAAATGTATCGTCCCAAAAATCAAAGTGCAAAGGCAAGTTTCCAAAGCGAATATATCGTTCCCTTGTGTGGATATCGTATTCGGAAATAGGTGGTTGAATATATAGAAATAGCTGATCAAAAGGGCGCCCGGGCTTCATTCCACAACAAGTCTCTTGAACGAGGACCCGGAGCTAGCAGTCTGCTCTTCTTTGGCAACACAGCTGCCTGCGCGGACCGGATCCTCCGTGGGAGACGCCCCTAACCTCTTTTGGGGGCTATTCGACGTCCTCGCTGCTGGTATGTATGCCTCGGGGGGAGTCATTGGTCGAGATTCGGAAGGAGATGCTGAGAGCAAGGAAGGGAGCGTTGGTCGTGATCGAGGGCCGCCAATGAAAGCACCGTTCAACGCAGGTGGAAAAACAGGAGGTGGCTGTGGAAGGATAGGACGCAGGTCTCTTTTAGCTTTATCTGCCCGGGAGGGCCTGCCTCGCTTTTTGGGTCCCTCTTGGGAGAGCGTCTGCTGGTGCACTGGGTTCGCACTTGTTGGCCGAGGAAGTATTGCTATATGGGGAGATAAAGATGCCGGCGGAGGCGCGACGTGCTCCACGCCATGATGGACTGGCTCATGACGCTCCGATGTTGCCGGCCGTTTTGCTTGATGCTCGAAACTGATGTCTTCCCAAGGCTTCCGTTTTAGCGACGGCGTGGCTATTGACATTTGGCTCGCTGCCTCCATGCACTGGTGCATAGTACGGCCTGCGCACTTGGTTAGCATCGGGGTTCATCATCGGCCCTCGTCCTGACTCGGCCGTCTCTTACCGGATGGCAGCTGCATGTACAGCCAATTGGGCTCGATTTGACTCTTCCTAACAAATGCAGCCAGTACATCTGCGTCTATGGAGCTGTTTTTGATCATCTCTGCAAGCACAAAGCGCTGAAGCGATTCAGTAAGTCAGAATTTGAGTCTTGCTGTGAGAGGGCGTTCAAACATCTCTCTGGCTCACCTTCTCTCTATCCTCGAAAGGCGCTTCCATCACGCCGGAAATTCTTGTCCAAATTTCAAAGCCGAAACGAGCGTGGCATCAAATAAATATAGGATAAAGAATACTTGTAGCGAGGCATTTGAATCTGTTCTGCGGAGGACCCAGGTGAAACTGATCAAGGCGTTATTGGCAGCGAAAGGGTAAGTGAGCCAGTGGTGGGAGTACTGGACTCGAGTATGGAATAATAAAGACCAAAGAAATTGACTTTGTATATGAATGCCCGCTTCAAAAATCAATCTTCATCACATTCTCGTAGTTGCGAGAGGAGGTAGGAATTCCGGCCAAAACAAGTCCTAGGATAGACCCATGAAGGGAAAACGCGAAAGGCTGGCAGAGACAACAATAATTTGTTTGTTTGGTGGCCGTCAGAGTCGGAAGCCTTTAGTGGGGTTAGGCTGACGTGTGAGAAGCTCGGCCATGTAGGAATTGGCTGCCATATAAATATTACCAAGCAGAGGCGCACGGTAGTAGTAGGAATAGACCGAAGGGGACGATCCGGGACCAGCAATCAAGGACAGGACAGAAGTGAATATCAAGGACAACCCGCCGGGATTTACAATGCACAATCGTCGAGGCAAACCGCGAAAGAGTCCGGATGGGTGCGCAGTTTGCCCTGGGAGGAGGAAGTGTATTTATGATGAAGGAAGGGTTGCAGGTGTGGCGGAGATCAGCCAAGCAGCCGACCAAGTGGACAAAGTAATGGGGAGGGGTTACTGCTCTTTCTTCCAAGGGATACGAGGCAGTGCTAGGCCGAGAACCAAAGGCATCCAGGCTGCAAAGGAAATGGTGAAGCGAACGCTACGTCGTCGAGTCCGGCCAGGGGGAGGGAACTTCTCTCGGACCTCTGTTTCAAAGAGAATAAGACCAGAAGCGGTTCGTGCGGGCGGGCAGAGACTTCAGCCTTGATATGTCGGGCGTGGGCTGCTGGATTCCGTACGTGGTCGATATAACCGGGCGAGGAGACCAGGTAATAAGGGCGGCCAAGCAAGGTAGCAGTCAGTTGGATACGTAGCTGGAGACGTAGATGACTGGTTCCCGAGAGTAGGGAGAGGGCGAACGGGGGGCGCAATGGGCGAGGCGCAGGGGGGCAATCTCGACCTCGGAGGCGGAGAACGCTGCAAGGTCTCGCCGAGTCGTCTGGCTGCTGCAATCACGGCATGCACACAGGCTGGACAGGACGAGCAGGAGAGGCCCACCGAGGACGACTGGCACCGAGTTGTTTGGCCGTCCGCAGACAGGACTCAACGGAGCATTGTCCCTTGGCGTTGAGGGCAGTGGTCGTACATGGGAGCTGTCGGTCTCGTGCAGGTCCGGTGGGGGGCGTTTGCTTGTATGACGCGGGGCGACTGGCCTCTGCCGAAGGAGACGGCGGCTGCGTTCGGCGGGAGGTAGCACTAGTCGAGGGCAGGATGTGCTGCAGGATGAATAACAACCGCAGTGGTATTTAGCATGAGGGAGGGGAGACAGAAGCAGGCAGGCGGGCAAGGAGCTGGCCGGGCTGCAGGGATGGTGCTGGGAAAAATATGCTCCTAGCGATCTATCATGTGCCACAGGACGCAGAGGGATGGATGGCATGGCTCACCTCACTCACCTGCGCATGCCTATTAGCGCCGCATCCCTTCCTGTCGGCAGCAGCGTTCGCACGGGTGGCGATCCGTAGTATTTTCGACGACGGCCAGGGGCGGCCAATCGCTATACATGGATACGAGCGAGGGTTGCAGACGGAGCAGGATGGCACAGGCCAGGTGGACTAGACAGTGAGCGAGCGAGTGGACGGCTGAGTAGGGGACCTCGGTGCCGCAGCCAACCAGACGGAGAGACAGGATGGCGATATCCACAGCCTCGCCGTGCAGCAGAGACAGACGCAGACGAACGGGCCTGAGTCGTGCGGTGCGTGCGTGGGTGCTGATCTCGGTCGGGGGAGGGTGGTATTGCTGGGCGGCAGACGCACGCTTGTTTGTTTGGCAGGTCGGGTCTGGAGGCGTTTCGTCTCCCGCAGGTTGCGTCCTTCACTGCACTGCTGCTTGCCATGGACGGGCAGCTGCATCTCCATGCGAAGTGAGCAGCGCTGAAGCAGGCAAGCGCGTGCGCATGACCCCCCGTGACCAGCCCGTCGCATCCATCCCTCCATCTCCAGACAGCTCAGCACCAGCGCAGCGCACCAAAGACTGCTCCGTCGAGTCCGCCCACCCCACCACCCGTTTGCTCCTCCTGCAGCTGGCCATGTCGAGCGTCTGTCGCCAGCAGCCGAATCGCGGCGCCCTCTTTCACCGAATATTGCCTTTTGTCGCCAACTGCCGCTGGCCACCAAACTCGGCCCACCCTCCCTCCAGCCCGTCTCCCCAACGGGCCATGACATGGGCCCATCCACGCCCATCAGGGTAACTCCCCGATCCTGAGAGACAACGACCATGCCGAACTGATCGACCAATCCCGCAATGGGAACATCACAAACTCCCGCGTGCCGGCCGCCCTCTCTGCTGGCCCTGGGTTGGGAGACTTGTCCAACATCATGATCAACGGCACCCTGCCACCCTGTTTCACTCGTCTCGCTTGCCTTGGTAGGGCCGCATGTGTTCCTACTAACGCCCCCGTACCATGCCATCCATGGCCCATAGCGCGTCAATTAGCCTTGGGATCCTGCAGCTATCTCTCCATCGTGTCTTGGGGTGTCTCATGTGCTGATTGCGCTGCAGGCCAGCACTAATATTGTCCGGCCTGTCACACGGGCAGCCATTATCGTCAGTCAGTCAATACATCCGTCCAAGGTGTGTGTGGCGCACCGTCTCGACGCAGCGGGTGGCTTGCACACCAACCCAATCATTCTTGGCAGCCTCCTGTGCCTGTCGTCCCTCCGCTGCAACCACATACAAAAGTCTGCAGCCAGCTGGGAGATCAGCAGCGCCATGGCTTGGGCTGGGTGTCATCCTCGACTTTTTTTCCCTTCCTCTTGGAACCCAACCTCAGATCCAGGCCCAATACGCCTGCTCCAGCTGTCGCCATGTATCAATAAAGAGCGGTTGTCAGCATGCCCCGCGCACCCTTTCAGCTCTCCCACAGCCTATTTGGGACTGGAGCCCGACATGGGCTCTCCGGTCGCATGCGCTCGCGCTCCCATCTGAGAGCGGTGCAGGTTTCTCTGGTCCATCCACCTCCTGCTTGCCGTTTGTCCATGCGCGTACGACATTCTGTGCTGCTGTCACGGAGAGCGCAACTGTCGGTGCGCGTCAATCAACGCTGCTCTTGGTGGGGAAGCGCTGGAAGCTCACTGGATGCCGTCTCACCAATCAAGTGCGAGGAACGGCATGCTGCACAGTCCAATTCAGCAGTTCGTCACATATGACGGGTTTTCCAATCAGAATGCAGCCAAGGGATGGAATCGGCCACGAGGCCATAAGCTGATTGATTGGGAATCAATGCCATTTGCGGGCATCTGATCGATCGCGTGGTGCAGCCGCGAACCACCCCAGAACCATGGCTCAAATCAGACCTTTGTCTGAATAGTTGCTCCCGACCGTCCTCAACATGCGACCAATCTCTGGAAGCAGCGGTGGCCCATCTCATACATATATATACCCATAGCCGACTTCTTCTCCTCTTCGAGAAACCGGCACTGGAAACCATGCACAGTGAGCTGGCACGACGGACAGGCTCGCCACAGGCCAAAGCCCCACTCGTACAACGCATCAAGCTCGATCAACCTGCCATGTAGGTAGGTGGCCTGGCACGACCAAGCTAAATTGACCCTTGGAAGAGGCGGACAATGAGAAGGATTGCTGCTCCGGCTATCTACACTAATACGAAACCGATGCACCACATCGGCAAGTTCCAGGCGTGCCAGGAAACCCAAAAGAAGCCCACCCTACCGAATACCGGTGAGCAGGTTGTGCTGCCTGCTTACTTGGGGTTGAGCCGCTCTTACATGCGACCAAGTCAGCAGTTTGCACACCAATCGCAACGTAGAGGAATTGTATTTCCTCGCCTTTGCTTGCCCCGAGCGATTAGTGAACATTCAATTACTTCCCCCGCTGGTTACACTAACAACACCTAGTTGCACCTTTCTGCGTGTGTTTCCAGGAACTGCTAGCACGCTATCCACCTGACGTAAAGCAAGAAATCCTACACTACATAGAGGTGAAAGGCGGTCAACAACAGGTACTCACCCCAACACCGATGCACAGTAAGAAAGGTTGGTGACTGTTTCCGTTTCGTTTCGTCTTGTTACAACAGCTCCCGGTGCCCAAGACCGGCCGGCGGAAAAAGGCCACTGGCCAAGAGCCCCCCCATCCATGTGTATCAAGATGCGCCATGCCCTCCGAGCACCAGATAATCCCCTTTTTATCGCACACCGGACCGCAGCCCTGGGCTCAATAAGAGGAGCAGGAAGTTGTGGATCAATCGTCTCGTTCCTTCAAGCTGAATAGTCTCATTTCGTTGTTTCTGCGTCAAGCAAGGGATGAACAATATTGATAGGCCACCATATGAATTCCTACCTCCTACATAGGCGATCTCAATCACAACCTTTCTTTTCCAGATCCTCCGACCGTGCGCCAGATCCTTGTAATGTATTCCGATTTGAAATTATGCCCTCAGCCGCGTTTCATTTCATACCCGCCTCCGACGCGCGCATCAATCAAATGCCCCCATCTATCCATCCAGCGCTGTGGCCTTGAGATCCATCTGTCCCATGGTGGATGATCGGCCCTCGGCGACAGGCACGGGGGCACCCTCAGCCACCTACCCAATCCTCTGCATCGAGGGCTGCCTCTGCCTCTTACGTCGATCGGGGTCAAGAAAATCCGGGGTTAGCCGTGTGTGCATGTCCGTATGTATAAGTGTGGATGCATTGGCTGGGCTGGACTGACTCGGGAGCCAGGACAGGAATGGGCGCCCAGATTGGATGAACGCGGGCAGTACGTACCTTTTTCTAGGTCCAGTGTCCTCGGATTTCTTCCCCGTTTTCCACACGAAATCCCCAGGACGGCCGATTTTCGATCTCCCTCGAACGTCTCCCTCCTCGCCGCGCCGCCCATTCACGAGTGAGCCTGCCGACACGGCCAGATGTATATCGCACTCGTCCCAAAAATCACGCGTTCCGAGCCCCTGGGCCTCTCCATCATCTAATTGCCGTGCTGCCATCGCATCGCTCCACGCGCGCGCATCTCTCAGAACGGGCCTCTCGCTCTCCACGCGCCCTTCGCACCCGAACAGCAAGCGCTACCTTACGCAGCACTACCTCCTTCCCTAGGTGGCCGGGCACTTGCATCGTCCTACAACTTCAAGCCGGCTACCTACTTCTTGCTTCCGCCCGCCCGCCAACCGACCTGCACCCACCATATATCCAGGTCAGAGAACGCTACATATATCCTGGGCTTCAGATGCTCTAATGGGGGATGATGGGCATGCACTCACCAAAATGGGAGGGATTAAACTCGAGGACGACGCACCAACCGTCAACGGTCATGTGGGAAAGGAAGACGCACCGCGCGCGTCCGGTGTGAAGGATGCGTCCGGACCCTCGCCACTCCCATCATTGTCGATGGAGGGAGTCAAGTCCCGCAGCGGCAGTGTCGAGACGCCCGACTCTCAAAGGCCACCTCGCCTGTCCCGAAAGGCGTCCCAAAAACGCGACTTGCCACAAAGCGAACCTCCGCTTTTCGAACACCTCCCCGACGTGACGGTTGACTCGTGCAAGACCTTCCAGGCTATTCCCGACTGTCTCTATGGGTCGAAGCATCTGGGATCCACGGACAATGACGCTCTGGATTGCGAATGTAGGGAAGACTGGCGTAAGTGCTTCTCTCTCCCCCATGTCTCAGTCATCTCATTTCTAGTGAGAGGTGCAACGATATTTTGAGATGCACTCTGCTAACCTCCCCTCGCAGAAGATGGCGAAAATCATGCATGTGGTGAGGACTCTGACTGTATCAATCGAGCTACCAAAATGGAATGTAGCGTGGATGACGGAAACTGCGGCGGCGGCTGCCAGAATCAACGGTTCCAGCGCCGCGAGTACGCTCGTGTCTCTGTCATCAAAACCGAGAAGAAGGGGTTTGGTCTACGTGCTGACTATGCGCTCCACGTAAACGACTTCATCTACGAGTACATTGGTGAGGTCATTAATGAGCCAACATTCCGCCGGCGGATGATGCAATACGACGATGAAGGCATCAAACATTTCTACTTCATGTCCCTCAACAAGAGCGAGTTTGTAGATGCCACGAAGAAGGGAAATCTGGGTCGCTTTTGCAACCACTCATGCAACCCCAACTGCTACGTCGACAAGTGGGTGGTGGGGGAAAAGCTTCGGATGGGCATTTTCGCTCTCCGCGACATCCAGGCTGGCGAGGAGTTGGTGTTCAACTACAATGTTGACCGCTATGGTGCCGAGCCGCAACCATGCTACTGTGGAGAGGCCAACTGTGTTGGTTTTATTGGTGGCAAGACCCAGACTGAGCGGTCCACCAAACTGGCGCCGGGCATGGTTGAGGCTCTGGGTATCGATGGCGGTGAAGTATGGGAGGCAGCTGGTGCTAAGAAGCCACGCAAGAAGAAGCCGGAGGAAGAAGATGAGGAGTACGTCAGCCGCATCCAACCACGTACTCTGGACGAGGACGATGCACGCAAGGTCATGGCCACCCTCATGCAATGCAAGGAGAAGTGGATTGCCGTCAAGCTGTTGCAGCGAATCCAAGACTGCGATGAAGAAAAGGTTATCCACTGCGTCATGCGCATGCACGCTTACCAAATTCTCAAGAATGTGCTCAACACCTTCATTGAGGACTTCAACGTCGTTTTACAGGTGTTGTCGATCCTTGACAAATTTCCCCGGATGACGCGAAACAAGATTCAGGATTCCAAAATCGAAGCCTCGATTGAGCCGTTAACGCACGTCGACGACGAGAATGTCACCTCCAAAGCCAAGAAGCTACTTGACGATTGGAGTAAGTTGGAAGTTGCATATCGTATCCGACGACGGAAGTTTGATCCGAGTCTGCCGAATCAAAATTCAAATTCGTTTGAGGATCGACGGGGCGGACAGGTTCGAGAGGAAGAAGCAGCCCAAAACAAGACTGCCTCTCCCCAGCCCCTGGATGCTCCTCGAGGGCCTCGCAACAATCAACCCCAGAGGCAGATGCCTCAAGGATACTTCGCACGCCCACGGCACCGTTCCTTTCAAAAGCAGCTCCCGGAAGGGTGGTTTGCAGCAAGGGACAACCATGGTCGAACTTACTTCTATGACAAGCAAGGCACCACGACATGGGAAAGGCCTACAAAGCCTGCCGTAGAACCAACGGTCAACAAGGCAGCCCAGGAGTTGCTTGCCATCCAGAGCATCATTAACAAGGTCACAAGGGAAGGCAGCACGCCAAAAGCGCCTCAAACGCAGCAGCAACCTCAAGCCAGTGCGGCATCAGCAGCAGAGTTGAAACGTGAAAAGATCCGATCAATCCCGGTTGAGAAACAGATGAAGATCTACGAGAACACGGTACGTTTGACTTGTTCTGCCTTTACTCTGCGGAATAGCAAAAGCTAACTAATCAGATTCATCCGCATGTGAAGCACGTTGTCGACAAATTTCGACACAAGCTGCCCAAGGAAGAACTCAAAAGGTTCGGCAAGGACATATCCAAAAAGCTTGTGAGCTCGGATTTCAAGAACGGAAGGGTCACTGACCCGAGCGCCGAACTAAACGAGAAACAAGTGCAAAAAATCAAGAAGTATGTCAAGGATTTCTTGGACAAGGCAGTCGTCAAATACAATGGACACAAAGAGCGCAAGGCTGCCCAGGCTAGTAAAGACGGGTCCAAGGAGCCCAAGGATTCACCTGAGGAAGAGGTCGCGGCGATTGGTGATGAGACTATGATGAGTGATATGGAGAATGGCACAACGCCATCGAGTCCCGAGAAGAAACGGAAACGTATTGACGATGAGAGCGGCGACTCTCCGGTAATAACAACTCCAGACGGCAGAGACTTGAAGAGGCCCAGGGAAGAGGAGAATGACCAAATGGGGACTCCTCCCCCGCCACCCCCTCCTCCAGGTGCTCGGAGCATCGGCGGTCCCTCAATGGAGACGGACGAAGCGCTACGAGAGCAAGAGGAAGCACTCATGAGAGAGAACGAAGAAGCCCAGCGGCTGGAGGACGAAGCAAACAAGACAAAGGCGTTAGAGCAGGCAGCCGATGACATGCATAGAACCGCTGCTGCTTCCCGGGGAACATCCGAGGTGCTCAGCCACTGAAAAGGGTGTATTTGGGGTTACTACATATCTGATTTCATGGGAGTGGAGCCAGTCATTTTTGAAAATTGTGTTCTTGGAGTCACACAGCCCTGATCGCTATCCGGGTTGGGACTCAGCACAGTGTACTATATGGCGCTCGGTATTCTAGCACCATTCTGTTTGCTAGGAGGTAGCGCAGGAGCATCTACCTCATCTAATACGCCATTCGGTTCTGAGCCTATATTTTTTGCTTTGGCCCACAATATGCAGCTTCGTATTTAAGGGGTACGACAATTCGAAACCAGCGTTAGGAGAGGATTTAGTAATGAGAGCTTTTGCCATTGACATGAACGGTCACTCAACCAAACCGGCGAGGGGCGGCCGGAAGGGCGAAAGACAAGCGGGATGAGCTACGGGGCGGTTTTGGCTGCTGTACAAAAACAAAGAGGAAATTAGCATGGATTCGGCGTAATGTGATCATTGGTCGCTTGAGTGACAAAGAAAAGAAAGTGGTGCTTTTTTTATTTTCCACGGGGGCGGTTTGGAAGCCCCCTTTGGTGTCGACATGGACAGACAGCATGGGGACGGCGTTTATGGGCGACGAATTCTGAGACATTTTAGATTAAAGATACCTCGGGCTGTTTTTAGAGCACGACATATTAGAGAACAAAAAGGCATGGTTTCTTATACCAATTCATATAATTTTTTGCTATTTTATCAATGTATCTATCATCAATGGCCAAAATGGGGAATCTAGCTGGTCTCAAAATATGGGGGGTATATATATCGTCTCCCTGGTGCTGAAATCTTTTTCGCCAAAAACGCCGTGAAAATTAGTTGAGCCGCGGTTCTATAGATGGCAGATACGAGGCAGCCGCGCAAATCTTCGATACCTGCCCACGTCTTTTTTCCCCTTTCCAAAAAAAAAAAGTTTCAGAAATCATCATCGCTGTCGTCGTCATCCTGCCCTCTCCGCCTCTTCTTGCTCGTGTTCACCTTGCTCGCGCCAAAGGGCAGCGGGGTGTCACCCTTCCTAACAAAGACGTAGCTCCTAGCGGCGCGCTCCTCCCCCTTCCACCCGCCGCCCTCCTCGCCGTTGCGGGCCTTGACGACGCCGAGGGTGCGCGCGTGGCGGTAGCCCGGGTAGGCGGACGCCTGGAAGCGGAAGCTGCGGTCGACCTGGAGCCCCGCGTGGCGGGCGAGGTCGCGGACGTTCCAGAGGGTGTAGGGCTCGCCCTCGAAGAGGGTGACGACGACGGTTCCCCCCGGTGCGAGGGCGCGGAGGGCGTGGTCGAAGAAGGAGACGAGGAGGGACTGGTTGTGGCGGACCTGGCGGTTGATGTCGGTGGACTTGCCGCCGACGTGGGGGAAGTTGAAGAGGATGCGTGTGGGAGGGGGACGCGAGGCGGAGGAGGGGAGGGGTCTGGTTGCGTCGACGCCGTAGACGATCTTGTTTCTTGTGGGAGCTACGTTGCCGCTGGGTTGGTCTGGTTCCTCTGCGTCGTCGTCGTCGTCCCCTTCTAATTCTTCTTCTTCCTCCTCGCCGTCGTCGGACTGCGGTGGTGGCGGAGGGGGGGACGTGACGGCCGTGATATTCTCGGCGGCGTGGGGGTACTTTTCCGTAAGCTCCTGGGCCGACTTCTCGAGGACGGTCGCGACGAGGTTCGTGCAGCGGTGGTGGGTCGCGAGGGAGGCGGCGAAGCTCAGGTCGCCCTCGCCGACGAGCAGGATGCGGTCCTCCGGGTTGAAGGGGATCGTGGGCTTCTCGTGCTGCTTCTGCTGGTGGGCCGGGTTAGGGCCCTTCTTGGACTTGGGCTGTCCCGCCGCCGCGTCACCTCTGCCCTGGCCCGGCTGGCCTTTCTGGAAGCGCTTTGCATTTGCCTGCTCCTTCTGTGCGAGCCTGCGCCTCTTGCCGCCCATTGTCCTGAGGCAAGGCGTCGCGGCGTGTCAATGGTCGGTTGGTTGTGTCACGGTGAGCCTGGGGGGCGTCGGGTGACGTCGGTTCAGAGTGAAGCTCACAAGAAAAAAAAAATTGACAAAGCGGGTAACTGTCGGATAGATCAATTGCCAGATTGGGAAAGATCCACCGTGCGTAGGAGACCCTTATCGGTCGCTTAGAGCGCAGCTAATTCAAGCCGCATGCCACGGCAAGCTTATACACAGACATCAGCATTATATCGATACAGAAAGCACTGGCAATGGTTACACGAGTGTGCTCTCAAACAACTATTCTAGCGTGATCGAGCTCCCGACCCAGTTCTCTCTCCTCGGGCTTTCCACCATCTTGTCCTCTCTCTGATGCTTTTCGAGTTTGGCCAGATGACTAAGCTGCCCAGGCGGGCGGCTGTCCTTAGGGAGCCGCGTGCGGGGCAGAGAATAAAGTTCAAGGGGTCAATCCGATCAAGCCAATGGGGGCGTCCGTGGGTCAAGCTCTGAAAAAAAGGCGTCGTTGCAAAGAGCCCCACGGTTCTTGGAGTTGGTAGCACAGCGACAATGCCAACATAAGCGCGGACGATAGCCACCTCCCCCCTCCCCCGACGACAGCCTCATGATGTTCGTTACGTATTTAAGCACTAGGTCGTGCCTCACCTAGAATGGGTCAATGCGCCAGTCTACACGCTTACCACGGCCCCGGTCAATCACACCAGCCAACGACAAATTCCAATGCTCCTCCAACACTCCCTGCGACCGCTGCCTCCCTACCTCGCTGATGTTTACACGAGTCAATACCCCAACGAGAGTGGCTGCTCATAGCAAGTCGGAGTTATCAAAGATGACGCCAAGGCAATGGGTTTGGGCAAGCAAACTCTCAGCAAGTTGGTGCTGTGTCAGCCAAGATGGAGGCAGAGCTGAGGTCCAACCCAAGGCTTATGGATCATAAAATTACGACCTTAAGCTCTACACGAGGCTATCAAGGATGATTATGACTTGTAGGCTCTTGCAGGAAACTAATTGATGCCTTACTGCTTGCCATCCGCTTCCCCAACCTCCTCTCAATTGTACAGAGATTTCGCCCGCCAGCTCGTATACAGTACGATTACCAGAGGCCCTGCCTGACTCGCAAAACGACGTCTATTTGGCGCAGGTCTAAAACTGCCGCGGAAATCATAAGAACCAAAAGATTAGCGCTCTGCGACCGCAACTTCGACACAAAGTAGGCACCAAAATTACGACAAAAAGCAAGCCGACGGGACCCAAACCAAAAGGGCCGTGTCACAAGTACGTTTCACCATCGCCGAACGCTCTAAAAAGATGTTTTTCAATGAGAGGAGGGAGTAAGTACCTTGTAAGCCGGGTTGGTTGGGAAAACAATTGACGGCGGGCCACACTTTCCGCCAGTGAGGTCAAAAAGCACCCCGATATTGCGCCAATTATCCACTCCGTGACAATTTATCCATGAGCTTTCTATGTAGGTATAGAGAGAAATGAACGGGGACGGCTGTGGCTATTTCTATTACTAGGTTGGCCTTCATTTTCCGTCACTTGGTAGGCTGTATACGGTACCCTAGTGCTTCAAAGCATACATTCACACAGTAATTCCCGAGCGCAAACCAGTTTATAGGCAAGTACGCCGAAGCTTCATGCTTTAACATACCAAAATCAATTGCAGGATAAGAAAACGGTTCGCGAACAATCGCAAAGCCACCATCCAGTGTCAACAGACAGGAGAATTGTTAGTTGTGTTTATAGTGGGTCCCATCAGAGCATGGGGTTGATGCCACACAAAAGTCAGTCTTCAGACAGAGAATATCATGAACAAACAGAAAGAGATGAAATGGAGGGGGTTGCCGCTTTTAGGGATTTGTACAAGATAAACCATGAACCCCAGAATGATCGATCTACTTTGCGACAGAAGGAATCAGGAGTGATATGCCCTTCTTGGTTGAGCTCGATGGTCTAGTCTCCAAATGTGGCGTGGTGTGGCGAAGGTGGCGCCAATGCTGAGGAGCTTCTTGTTGATAGAATTCTATCCGCCACTTTACAATTCAAAGAATTCCAGTACATTTTACATCGCAAATGGAGTTCAAGTTTCTCGAGAGAAAATGATTGGATTCGACTTCTCATTTGCGTTGAGAAGGCCACCACTTATCTTGCTAATGTCAATGATAGTCCCTAAATGTCTGGGTTTCTCTACACAAAAACTCGTTGTTGAGAACTCGGAGGAGGGGTTCGTTCCGAATCTGAATTCATATATGGTTTTGCAAATCAAATCTGATGTCTCCTAGAGCATAGATACTATGTCACTATCATAGCGATGATTACACCGATTTATCCTCGACCCAAAAACCTTTGAGATTTCCGTACGGCCCAATGAGTCCAGTTCTTCAGTAGTTCATGAGATATATTGTATGAAGACTATTTATTGAAATTGCAATCTCGGCAGGCCTATAAAGACATGTTTGACATTCAAGGAGCAGAAGAAAGCTTGACAATTACTCGGCAAGGTAAGAATACCTTAGCTTGGGTATCTGTATTATTTACATGAGGCCAACTGGAATTCCTTTTCGTGATGGAAATATGACCTGTACAAAAGTGCATCCACATATAGTTGTTTATCATATCTTTTACCGACTTGAGATGATCGCGTGCCATACTGATATTTCATGTATCGGGACTTTCCTGGTAAGTTAGGCGCATGGCGAAGGGAGATAGAAACGATATCTAGAGAGGGAATCCTTCGTAAGGTAGTCAGAAGGTACCAGATATAGATGGTCTTGACTTTGTACTTGACAACTATATATAGATTCAGATTTTTAGATTATGATGTTCATTTGCGCAGTTGGACTCCCATGTAAGTCTGTTCCTATTTGATGCCGATAGCGAACAGTTGTTCTTCGTGATAAAGTAAATAATAAAATAGAAGAACCCATAGCCAGGACTGGCGCATTTGATCTTGACTCTATTACATTAGACACGCAATTATTTATTTGGAATGTACAATGTTCTTGAATTCGAGAAAACCTCAACCTTAGGGTAAGATGCCGGAATCCACGTTCGGCAGTTGCATCTGCTTACTAAGGTATACATTAGAACTGGCGCTAAAAGGTTTCGTACCTAAGGTAGTACCTCTAGAGCCCCATGGATTTTACCAACGAGCTGGAGCATTTTGGCGTCGAATTTCCTGGTAGAAGGCAAAGTATTCAAAGTCACTGTCTCAATTTCTGGATCAAGTGCTGAAAAGGCCCGGTATCTTGGAAGTAACGCCGGAAGTTTAGATATGAAAGTTGCTCTGACCGTGGAGTGACATGGGTTCTTTACTGCGACCTAAATAACCTTCAGCAGTGGCACTTACAGGCCCCGCACCCTACGTGATGCAGGTACCGTCTCTTCACCAGGTCCTGTACAATGGCTAGAGCACGGAGGTGCACGAGCCCTGATTCATGCCACAGGCATGCTCCGGTAGATCTGGTGATGCATTGAGCGGGCATGTTCACATGGGATAGTTGTACATGCGTCGTCATACGCCCACCTGCGCTAACATACGTGGGTGTCCATATGCTCAGATGATGTGAGGATGTTGCCTTTTTGGGGAACGAGGAGTGCGACGCTAAGGGGGGATGACTGAGGCGGCCAAGGGGGAATGGACGTGCTAGATGTATCATATGTGTATTCAAGTAATTCGGAGAGCGGTCTTCTGCATGACAGATGTATACCAGCGCATTGTCGCTTCGTTTTTCACGCAAGCACAAACACCCGGGCCGTCATGATACTTACGACCGGATGGTAATTGCAAAACGGACTGCAAAGCCAAGCAGAGGCAAACGGGATGTAGGCGGAAAATCAGCTCCTCCGGACGAATGAGGGCAGTGGAAATGAGGCCAGCGGCGCCTGTTTGAGTCTAGCTCGATGGGTGGAGCGGGCAGGGTGAGACCCTCGGCCAATGAAGAGCTTCGATTTCCCGATTTGGCTTGGGGGCGGCGACGGCGACGCTCAAAACAGGGTAGGCAGGTACGTTCCCGCGGTACCGACCGCGACACACAGCGCAGTATGGCGCGGTACGTACCCCGGTACCGTGGTCGGTCTCGCAGGCCGAACAGCAGCGTACAACAGCAGCAAGGCCCAGCAGACGGCAGGAGCCAGACCCAGAGGGAAAAAAGGGACACTCACTTCACAGCCTTACCTCTTGACCCATTGCACCCGGATGTTTATCGCCAACGCACCGCGCAGCTTCATTCTCGGCCATCTGCTGCGCCATTGAGTGTGTTTTGTTGCATCTTTCTCTTGCTTTGGACGTGTTTTTTTGCTGCATTGCTTTGTCGTGCTTTGTCGCTGGGGGCTGGCAAAATCCTTGTGGCCCGGCCAAACGCCCTCTTATGCATCCATCCCAAAATCTGAGCCGCACCTCACCTTTCTATCACATCCCCTCTTCACTTCACACATCTCTCACTTTGTTCTTGCGTCGGCGGCATTGCTGAATAGGCCTGGGTTTGTATTCAGATGTCCGCCCCGCCCCTTGATTCCCCATTGTGATTTGTTTCCTTGACTCGTTTCCCGGCTGTCATTCTTTGTCCGGACACATCACATCCTTCACACCAAACCTCAACTTTCACCTACATCACCAGATTCATCCTGTACCACTTCTTTGATTTCTCTATACACCACTTACTTAATTCATGACCCTTCTCCAATAGTCCTGCAATGGCTGCTGAGAACGGTTCGCCGGCTCGCGACCCTACCTCCAGCGGGTTTCGTGGTCGCGGTCGAGGCGGACGCGGCGGCCGTGGGAGAGGCAGAGGAGGCGGCAGAGGCGCTTCCAGTGCCAATGTTACCAAGTCTACTACCACGCGCGGAGGACGCGGAGGCACTCGCAGAGGGCGAGCAAAGAATTTCCAAGATTCTCGCGTCCAGGCCGCCTATGAGCGCCAGCGCGATCTCAAGGCCACATACCAGGCGGTTGCTCAGGCCTTGAAGCCCGCCCT